CATTTGGAAAAAGTTGAAAGTACGCAAAATTTCAAATTTTTGACAAGAATTTTTTGTTTCTGACGCTGGATTCTAAAAATTTAGCTAAAACTGCACAACTTTTGTATTTATTGGCCTTTCAGATATTATTGACGTCATTAGCCTTGGAAATTTGGCAGGTTGACCCCGTATAATAACGACAGTATATGTCAAATTCCAGAGAGTTTTAAGTGCTTTACATAATTTCGTAAGTGTCGCGGTATTAAAATTCTCTGGCCTCTCTGGCCAATCAAATTTGACACATTTTTCAATAGTGCTATATTATAAACGGTACCTAACTATTTTGCGTACCTGCAAAATCTAATGAAATTTTTTAAAATTCGGCATTGTCAAATTTATTTCATATTTAAGATGCCCAAAATAATTTTACAAGGAAAAATAATAAAATGTAATGATCAATCCAAGAAAAACAAACCAGAGGTTCTTCAGGGAATTGAAGTCCAACTACTAGATATATTTGGGATAGGTATAGTTTAAATGTAGATGTAAAGCCATTTCTTACAACCAGCAACCAATATCTTTGTTGGACCAAACTCGACCAAACCCAAAGAAAAGGTTACTGCGAAAACATATTTATGCTGTTAAGCTTACTGAAATTAAATTAAATAATCATACTACCTACCCAATTTTTTTAAAATTAATTAGGAAAAATATTTTGGAATTGAATCTCTCAAGATATTTTACACATTCTGGCAACTCGGCTTTCTGTTTCATAACCCTGAAATTTAAAAAAATATTTTGTCATCAAATGTCATTATTATACGAGGGTCAACCTGTCAAATTGCCAAGGATGATGCTACGCCAATAATAACTGAAAGGCATATTGTTCGTAATAATAAATTCGTCAACATACTACCAATGTGGCGAGGTCTGTTGAGTATTTAATTGAAAAAGTCCTAAGCCTTGGTTAAGTGTGAAGGGAAAATTTAGTTCAGATAAATAACATTCCACCAAATGGAAATCATGATAGGCAGTGGCGGCTTGTGAGTATTTCAAGTGAGGAGGCTATGGTCGCTGAACGCCAATAGTGGTTCGATATGTTTCCGACATTTCTATTGGACGCTCAGATCCGCGGTCCATTTGAATGCTAGATTTCAGTGAAGCACGTGAGAGTCTAGCCTCCAGTCGACCTCTAATGTCAGAATAATTGCAGGACAGGGTTTCTGACAAAGTAGCCTCATATCGAGTACCTACCCACAATTTTTTTCTGGTCAAAACGAAATTTCCTTTTTCATTTTTTTCCGTCCTTAAGATGCGCCGTAGCGAGAAGAGTCAAATTAACTTCTCTTCGTATTTTTTGTTTCTCTTTCCAATGTTTTTTTTTTTTTATTAGTTCCAAATTATCCGCTGACCAATATAATTATAGATTGGGCCGCGTGATTAAAATAACTTTAGTCCTTCGGGCTCGCGTATAACTCCGGCCCTTCGGGCTCGCGTATAACTCCGGCCCTTCGGGCTCGCTTATAACTCCGGCCCTTCGGGCTCGCGTATAACTCCGGCCCTTCGGGCTCGCGTATAACTCCGGCCCTTTGGGCCGGAGTTATCGCGAGCCCGAAGTATCTAGTATTACTGAGTATCTCAGATTCACAGATTTTTGTCGTGGAGGCGTGGGATTGATTGAAATAATGTTGTCAGATTTTTCTAAATTACATTGAAATATTGAAATTTGGAAAGTGTAATTTGTGAATTATTATTTTAATTAGGAATCAGGAATAAAAAACTGAGATTGAATTTTCAATTTTTTTTGGGGGAGGCTTAGCCTCCCCTGCCTCCTCTGACGAGCCGCCACTGATGATAGGGACTTTCTGATCCCCCTGTATATTTGTGTGAGCAATCTTTTCACAATAAATTGATCGGTAAGCGGTAAAACTGCGAGCAATATTTAATTTGAAGTAAACAGTCGTGTGTGTGACTTGAAGTTGGAAAATGACACATTTCCATATCCAATTCGTATGTCGACTTGGAGAAAATGAAGGTCAATATCCACCTTTTCTTCAAAACTATGAATTTTCAATACTATTGAAAATATCAAAGTGAATAAAAAATGAATATTTTCAGAAAAGAAGATCAGGCTACAATTTGGTGTTGAATTTCCAGTGGTTCACTCCACAGGGTGTCTCAAAAAACTCTGAAAATTACTGAGTTTCTTTCCATCCCTGTATATGATATAAATATGAATCATTTAATAACGGTAATATGTCAGATGTATTCCTGAAGAATGAAGCTACAATCTGTGAAAAATTCATCAAAATCGAGTGGAGGGTTCAGTGTAAATTTTTACATTCCCCTAATTTTGCCGGTGTGTGTAGTTAGAGTGGCGATTTCACTTTACCCTGAAGGGAAACACCAGTTAGAACTTTGTTACAAACTACATACAGCAAATTTGAGCACCGATTAGTGATTGCTGCATCGGTCATTTCATGACTAATTCAGGAATCAGCAACATTTGCATAATAGTTAATTCAACATTTTGATAATGTACCCTACAAAAATATCCAATTAAAATTTTCTCCTTCAAAATAAGAATTATTCGACTTATTTTTCCCTTACACTTGCTCATTTGTCAAATATATTTCAGGTGCCAATATACCCTTTAAAAATGCATTACGATAATCAAAAAAAGAAAACTTAAATCTAAAAAGGTACTGTTCTTACCAACATACATCTACTTTATAGAGAGAGTAAGAGCCCTGCTACCCGTTGCCCATCCCCTTTAACGGGAGGCCGGGCGCATCAAACACCGATACTGACCTGATCATGATCTTCAATGGAGTGGCTGCGTCGGTGACGTCGCTGCGATCTGCTGCTCGGACGTTCGTGTCTGTGCCGATTCGGACGCTTCTTGCTGGTGGGCGAACGCCGATTGCTGCGCTTGTAACGACGCTCTGCACTTGAACCACGTTCGAACTGACGCGAACGCTGATTTCTTTGACTGCTGTAAAAGGAAATAGGTTCTATGGTTTTGGTCTTTGGGAACTGGAATGACACTTTGAAATTTTATAGTAGAATTTTTTATATGAAAATAGCGTTTTGCTTATTAATTGTATTTTATTCAAAATAAATCACTGATTAAAAAAAAATCTTACTGCTAAGTAGAAAAAATAAGTTATGCACTTGCCTGATATTGGTCACTTGTTTTTTTGGAAATTTAATTTATATTATCTAGGATGAGTGGTAAAAACTCACCAAGAATTTCAATATCAGCCTAAACCGTTTAAAAAGGAACGTATTCGTGGAAGTCAGTAAGTATTAAACCAATGCACTCTGCTCCAGAATTCAACTCTTCCTAAACGGTTTTAGTTGAGATTAGAACAAACCAAATAGGTAAGTATGTATTTTAATTAATTCTTGTTACAACTTAATTTTAAAAATTTCCCAAACCAGAATTTCTTTGATAAAAGTAGTTTTATAATACAGTATGCACTTGATAATGTGAACAATGCTATAGTCGTATAATTAGTGAATTGAAGGTGCAGTTTCTTTATCAAGTCCAGGTAACCATTATTTTTGACATAATTATTTTCTAGATTAATTTGTTTATTTCAATTTAATAGTCTCACCAATATATGGTGCCAAGTTTCAAAACAAGTTAATGATGACCCTAATTGAACCTTCAATTATTATAATGTATGTAATCTCTATTATACAGGGTGTCCTACCGGGAACCACATAGATCTATATGTGAAAAACTCTATGCAGAAAATTTTTGAAAATTTGACAGTATATGGAATGTCAATGGGGACAACCCGGCTAAAATATTTTCAAGATGGTGGCACTTTCGAATATACCGGAAGTAGACTTGCTTATTTTAAATGAGACACTCTGTCCTGTATATGATTACATGTTTGGAATCTACGTAAAGTGCCTCATGCCGCAAGTGTCAGATAAAAATCTACGAACAATAAAATTCTGAGCAGATTTCATGTGATACACCCTATAACTAAGTTCAACTGTTTTGGAAATATTGACAGTCGAAAATTGACTTTTTGCAACTTTGACATGCTGTTAAACCTAAACGGTTAATTTTTGAGGAAAACCGATTTAACATTCCTATGTTAGATTTTCATAGACATTTGACACCAACTTTGAATTTAACCGGAGATTAAATTTAATTGGAATTTTTAATCATGGATTAAATTCAAAGTTGGTGTCAAATAATTGTTTATGAAAATCTAAGATAGGAATGTAAAATCGGTTTTCCTCTAAAATTAACCGTTTAGGATTCACAGCATGTCAAAGTTGCAAAAAGTCAATCTTTGACTGTCAATATTTCCAAAACAGTTGAACTTAGGTATATGGTATATCACATGAAATCTACTCAGAATTTTACGTAGAATCCAAATATGCAATCATATTTAAAATGAGCAAGTTGACGTCTACTTCCGGTTCCGGCCACCATCTTGAAAATATTTTCGCCGAGTTGCCCCCATGACATTAGTATACTGTGAAATTTTCAAAAATTTTCTGCATACACTTTTTCACATATAGATCGATGTGGTTCCCGGTGGGACACCCTGTATAAACAATAAGCAAGGGTTACTTATTGTTCATGTTATCAAGCTGGTACTGTACCATGCATAAACTACTGTAAACTGCTTTTTTTGTGTCCTCATTTTTAGCAGGGCAGGTCACCTAAAACGAGGAGAGCCACTCAAATCAAACTAGATGAAGTCAGAATCAGCTAGCTTACTTCAACATATTTTATTTTGTATCTTGTATTTCTAGAATTTGCTGAGACAGGCTCTCCTAGTCCTATGAAAACCATGAAAATGGAAACATAAATGAATTAAAAAACCCAAATTTTTCAGCTATTATGTTTATTTATAAAAACAAAAACAAAACAAGACATATTATTATAAAGACACTTAACCTTGAAATTGAATATTAGTAAAAAGTAGGAAACATATTATTAAGCCTTAAAACTAATTCTTAGACATTTTAAATTATTTCTTATTCAAATATTAATCTAAATTGACATTATATTTTTCTTTAACATCATCTTTAACAAACCAGCCGAATTTGTTTTTCATAGGGCCATCAGCTGCACCCCTTTTATACTGAGCCGATTTTTTAATAAACCTTGTTAGGCAAGCCTTTGATACGTCAACATTATGGCCACTATTAGTCATAAATGTTAGAAATTCTTCAACAACTTTAATTTTCTTATTAACATTGCCATGGATGATTTTTAAAAAGTGAGGAATGTGTTCAGCAGGAAGTTCTGAAAGTTTAACCTTCTTTTTCTCTGTAGGAGACGCGAATATTTCTGACCGTTTGATGATTCGTTTTGCTTCATCAAAAATATCCAAAAAAGGTGATAAATAGCGGTAAATTGGTCCATCAATATTATCACCCTGTTTATTCATCCACACTGCGCCTACTGACCGTGGTTTGAGCTTATGCGTTTTGGATTTTATATCTACATCAAATTCATCTTTTAGTAATTTCAGTTTTTGTTTTAGAGATTCTGGGGATAATCGAGCACCTTCTTCATCATCTATCTCATCATCACTTAAATGACCATGAGGTACGAAGAGATCGTTATCAATCTCATAATCGTTCTCATCGTTTTCCGTATCTTTTTCCTCTTCATCACCTGATATATCCAGAGATTCGCCTTGTTCTTCTTCCTCCCAATCATCATCAGAATCTTCTTCGTAATTGAAATATTCAGTGTCTTGTTCAAATGGCTTTCGAGGTTTAATAAATTTACTATTCTTGCGCCACGTGCCAAAGTAAGCTGGTCTTCTATTTTCAACGAAATGTAAAAATTTGGCCTTCATTTTGCGAACTTCAGAAGTAGTGTCACAAATTTTTTCTCCTAGAGCCTTGTCTTCTTCAACAATCATTACCTCATCTGTAGAATCTTCATACGGCCAAGTTTTAGTTGATTTTCCAATACAAATTTTACCATTTTTGAGTTCCTGGAGATATAAAATATTTTCGGTCTTGTTTTCCAATGCCAAATCCAACTTATGTTTATCTTCGATTGATAAGGGATTTCTTCGGGCAGGTGGCAATCTCATATCAGATTTTACTGCAAAGGGCATGAAATTGGAATAATTAGTTGTTTCGCTTTTATTTTCCTTTCCTTCTGGTTCTGATTTCTTAAAGAAGTTAACAAATAAAGCAACAGATTTTTGTTGCTTTTCTTTGTTTTTTTCTTCAATTTTTTTCTCCAGTTCTTCTTTTTCTTTCCGTTTCAATTCCTTCTCTTCACGTTCCCGTTTTTTTTGTTCTTCCTTCTCTTCTCGCTCTTTTCTCTTTTGTTCCTCCTTCTGTTCCTTTTCTTTCTGTTTAAGCTCTAGTTGCTTCTGCTTCTCTTCCAGAATTTTTTGTCTTTCAGCTTCTTTTTGCTCTTTCAGTTTCTGTTTTTCAGCTAAAATTTTAGCTTTCTCATCTTGTTTTTGCTTCTCGCGCTCCTCTCTTTCCCTTATCTTTTGTTGCTTCTTTTTCTCTGATTCAAGCAGTTTCTCCAACTGTCTGGGCGTGAGTCCTTTTTTAGGAGTGCTCATCAGTTTATCTTTTTTGTCATCAACAATATCCGACTCACTAATGGATTTTCCTTCTTTATCATTTCCTACAACCTCAACACTTGTGTCTACTTCCATTGCCTTTTCGTTGTCATTTTGAGTAAGATTCCTAGAAGAGGCTTCTGGTTCCTCACTGGAAGTGGTAGCAGGTTCTTGCACATCTTCCACTCGTTGAATGGTGTCGAGATCGGAACTAGAAAAAATATGTTTGGTCAGTGAAGTTAATCCAAGCATCGTAGGCAAATCGTCAGCTCCAGCCAGAGACCAAAATCTCGCCTTAAAACAGACATAAAAATTTAAATATGAATTGTGTTATCAAGAAAATGTGATTGGCCAGAGTAAAATTGGTACTAAATGTGTTTTCGTGACTAACCTAGGTGGTGGAGATGGGAAAATAAAACAGCACAATCGAAACGCTATTTATTTATTGGATAGTTTCATATAAAATATAAAAATTATTGTACTTACCTTCAGGTTTTCACTAAAATTGAACCAAATTTTATAATCTATTACTAATAATGTTGGTTGTGTAAGAAATTTGCACCATTGTATGCATAAATAGGATGTTTCTGAATCGCGTTTCACCTTTACAACTTTGATTTTTCAAACTGAACTTTTGATAATAATAAGATAGCTACAGAATCCGACATTGGCATGCTTGCAAGTTTGAAGTACTTAATTGTGCACAATTTGGTAGCAGCGCATGGAGGACTTCAGGAATGACACCCCAGATACGAATCCACTAGGGCTCAAATTAACAGTAACAGCCCTCAAACCCAACTTTCGAACTTATTTTCAGATTATAATAAGTTATTGAAACATATAGTTAGTTGATCAGTTGTACTGATATAGTTTAGTGAACAGATAAGCTTGTTTTGAAAAGTTTTTTGATAGTTGTGGCTTCTGGATTATTGTTTTTAATAAAGTTTATTTAATTTTGAAAGAGTGATCTCACTTATCTGAAAATTAATAATTCATGTTGAATAGTTGAAAAGTCCAAAAGTTATACAGATAAACATAAACATTTTCATACACATATTAAGGATACAATGGCATTAATTTCTGGTTTCGATAATTTTCAGTGAAAAGTAATCAAGTATTGCATCATAGTACCAATTTTACTAATTTAGCGCAGAAGTCACGAAATTCTAAGCATTACCTACCGTATTTCGGTCTAAGGTTGAACTGACAACATGCTTCCTTCAAATTTTCACCAATTATATCTAAATAAACAACAATTTTTTTTTTTAACAGATTACACACAATAAAATTTATCACTGCAGGTTTAACAGGAACAAAATCTTGCATGCACCGTGGAGGCTTAAATCGTGCCCTGAAACCTGCTAAATGGAAAACAGAGAACCAAAAATTCACTTCACCAAAATAGATCACAAACTTATTTTTTTAGTGTAGAAATAGTAATGCAATTACAGTTAATTTCAAATAGGAAAGTAGTTTATTAGTTATGGGATTATGTATACTAGTGTGGCAAGTGAACATCTTACAGGCCAAATTTAATGCAATAGAATGAAATGTCTAGAAAAAGTCTAAAGTTAAATAGAGAACGAAAATGATTTCGCATTTCCACCTCCAGCATTCTCAACGGTCCATGCTGAAGATGGAACAGGGGAAATAGTTTTCGTTCTCTATTTAATCTTAGATTTTTTCCAGACATTTCATTCTATTGCATTAAAATTGGCCCATAAGATAATGACCTGTGTATATGTATACCCAAGAAAATACATACTTTACTTGAGAGGATTCACAGCAGAGCATTTACTTTAAAATGTGACAACAGAAGGTTCTACAGTCAAAATTTTTGGAAGAAGAAGAAAAACTTTAAGCAGGAATTTAATAATTATAATGACCCAAAACACATATTTTTCCAGCATCCCGAATAATTTTTCATATGACCATCATATCAACAAACAAAATTTAAAAAGTATACATATAAACTGCCCCAAGAACATAATACATACCACTAAAAACCTTGGACTGAAATCTGCAATGCAGTATAAGTAAATGGGGCAGCAATAATTGAAGTGAGCCAATTTCTCACTTTATGTTCTGTGCTCCATCATAAAAAATATAATTTATTTTGGATGTATGTGATATTAAACAGTCGGCCAAACATCTGAGGGCTCCAGACTTCAAATAACATCAAACAAAAACAACATGACCAAATCAGGCAATTTTAACACTAATTATTTAACAAATTTACGATTGACATTTATTTGCATGCCATCGTTAGAGGATATAATAGTTTCCAACTACGTCAAATGTTACACTCAAACATAAAACGGTTTTGAGAAGTTTACATGTATTTTTTTATTAAAAAAACAGTATTGGAAATGAGAGATTGTAATTTCATGAGTAAAAACTGCAATTTTTACTACTCCAGTTAGCTAAAATAGGACAAAGTGATCACATAGTTACAACATACTTTATCTGTTGCTGATATACCATATTGCACTTAGGTAACCATGTTGCCATTGCAACATAAAGAACTTGGGGTTGTTCTTGTGTTATATCCAAGCGCATCCTGCTGAAGTCAGTAAGCATAGTTTCTTGATGACTCCTGTTCAATTCGTAATGAACCGCATATGAAACCATTTTGAATGAGAGTTTTTTTTATCACAATATTGACCACTAAAATAACTGTCACTATGTTTTTCAATAAGCACAGATTTTTATCACAACTTGTTGCTCTTTATAAGCTTCAGGAAAATGTTTCTATTTTTAGCTTCATTTGAAACTTGACATAAGCTGCAAAAAGACAAGCAATAGTTTAAATTTCAAGGTTGTTTTAAGCCAATAAAAATTTAAAAAATATTTCCTTGACATTCAAATATCATGTTGGATCATTTGGAAATCATACCAAAAAAAAAAATGGATTAGGTATAAATTATTATTTTTTAAATCATAAGAGAGTGATAATACATATATGGAATCGATGTAATTATCAACTTTTTAAAGTCTATCTAATGATCTCACTCATATACCTACTTATATCTTAACATCTTCCTGCATAGCTCATTAGTTACAGTATTAAAACCAGTAGCGCCTATTCAATTAGGATCAAGAACTTGACCTTGCTAGATGGAGAATTCTTTTGCATTAAATTTGTGTAACTACAAAGCAGATCAATGCCAATGCTTTGGCGGATAATAACCTTGAAAGGCCAACACGGTTCTTTAACTAACCAGAGGCCACAAATATGAAATTTTATGGAGTGAGTTTGAAAAAAAAACCAAAGATAAATTTCATTAGAAAATAAATTTTTAGGAATATTTGTGCCAATCCATAAAAGGGTTCAAACAGATTAAGATAAGATGCTCCATCCTTTTCAGGGTAACATTTTCATTTCAAAAACGACAGTGTATCATATATCATTCATAATCAAATCGTTATCCTCTAATATTGAGCCAATAAATAACAGAAAACGCTCAAAGCGTGTCAAAAACTGGTATCACATATACACATTTTCTCCTGATATGGTAACAAAACGAGCAAAGCTTGTCCTGTTAAAAATTATGAGGCTATGCCAAGCGACAGCCTGTGAAAAACATTGTGCCGGATTAAAGGTTTTTTTTTTTCTAGCCTGACCTTTATCATTTTATATTAGGTGATTTCCTATTGTGTATTCTGTGTACTGAAATGGTAAATGGTGCTTTCAAATAAATCACATTCAATGCACATACATACAGTGTGGTTATGCTATATCAAAAGCCAAACAGAAAATTCTACTAAATATCTGATAATGCAAAAATACCTTGGGAAGTATTTTTTTTAAAGCAAAAATTGTTGAAGACAATTGTGTTGACAAGAACCAAAAAATCAATCACATCATTACAAAATTGTTGTTCAGGATTTTTTTTATAAGCACACAGTTTATGAACCAGTTATGGGAAAAGCCTCTCAAGTCTTAATAAATTGCTAAATTTAATTACATGCGGAGGTAAATTGTTCATGGTGTGGCAAATAATCTTCCCACCCTGTTGCATGGTAATGTATAAATATAAATACGATATTCTTCAAAATACCGGCCTTGCCCCGAATGCAGTATGTACGAAGGTTCTACATCGTGACACGTTTCATTTTTTTTTGCTGTAGGTACACTGCCATTTACGGCGATTTGAGGGTTTTTAGAATGTTAAGATCACAGGGACTCAATTTTGCCTCTATCTTAAACCTTCTTTATTTTATTAAATAATAAATTTCAATAAATAGTTATGTTATGGTCGGAATTCAGGAACTCAAATTAAATGCCTTTCAAATATAACAATAACTTTTGCAATAACAATGGAGTCATTGATTATTTAATTAAATGTCAATTATACAGGTGGGTAAGTGAAAATGAATTCCTGCCAAAGGTCCCCAAGCAAAAGTGTCATACATAAACTCAACCGAGATGGGAATGGAATAGGAGGCACCTAAAAATAATGCTTAGAGAAAGGACAACGTATTAGGTAATCTATGAAAACTTGACTTATGTACTTAGGACCGGTTTATTAGGCGACGGTTGGTTAGCTGTCGGTTGACTTAATTATTAAGTCAGTGGTTTGATGAAATGCTGAGAAAAATGTCAGTCTGGACAAAACAATAACTGCTCAATGGGCAGGCAAACTTTCAACAAAAGACTACATCCTATTTTGAATAAGAAAAAAACCAATTTATAAGGTAATTAATATCACATAGACATAAGGAATAAAACCCGCGTTAAAGGCAATGAAGGATTTGTCTAAAACAACAAGGGATGAAAAGAAGTTAAAGACAAAATTATTGCAAAAAAAAAATCATTCATCAAAGAAAAACCAAAAGCAACAGTTAAGTATTTTCCTTCACTTCAACCCATCTTTCTTGGAAATTTGACAGACTGCCTTTTCTATAAAAATTATTACAATAAATTTCAAATTGTCTCATCACACTATCACAGAAGGCTTTTCCACATATGTTGTATAATAATATATTATTGCAAAAGCTTCAACTTTGATGGTAAACCTGGACAATCAAATTCAGAATAGCTGTAAAGGTAACATTTTCAGGAAATACTTGAAAACAAATTACTTAAAGGCTGGCAACAGTTTGATATGGTCATTGTGTATCTTTAATTTCCAAGGCGAACAGGATGCACCTATTGGGAGATTGAACCATGTATAATAAAACAGTTACTATATACCACAGTAAGTGAGGCAGGTGCATTATTTGGTAAAATTTCCTACTAATCCAACATGACTTTTTTTTCACCTTCTAAACTATTTGCAAAAATGTATTTTAACTATTACACCCATGGACCACTGATCACTAAACCACAATTTTGCTTAATTGATCGCCCATCCGTGGCACCCCCAGCAAAAAGAACGTACTGATTGCTGATAACACATAACAAACGACATAGGCATAAATCCGGATTGAATGCAGGCCGCCGCGCGTTACAAGAACAGAATAGGACTAACCAAAAGGAACGCACAAGAACGACTAAACACGCAGTGGCTGTTGAAAATATGCATGGAAAATACAATCTTTCAGGGCGAACAAGATAACAAAAGGAAGGACAATCCGCACAGCGTGCGGTGCCGTTTCTTATTATTATTATACCTCTGCCTACTGAAAATAGCCGAGGACAATCACCGCAATGGCAAAGGCCGAACATAAAACGATAGTCTGCAAACTATGAACAAAGATTTATCTTTTTGCAGCAAACATTAAAGGACAATTATTATTGGGTAAACATAAGACTGGAGCATTGTTTTGTTATTTCAGAAGTAAGGTAAACTTATTGAAAACAAATACTTATCTGGGAAAAAAAAGTGATAAGCCACATACTTTACATTGGTTTCATTGAAAGTACATATTAGCAAAAGAAGAAAACTCGTTAATTATCATAATTTTATAAAATAAATATAGGTACTTGGAGGGAAATCTGATACACGCATAAAGCCAATGAAATTTTTCAAAAAGAAATATCAAATCCATTTAAAACACGTCAAAAACAATAGCCAATTAATAAGAAAGTTCCATAACAGATTATCTATACAGAGGATGTCGGAAATATCTTTAGGAACAGGCAAGGATATAAACTCGGATATAAAGCTCCAGTAAGTAACGTGCATTTGCTATGCGTGTCAAGAAAACGTGATCAGTGTAAGCACGCTGTAAACACACGATAAAATTTCGCACTTCAACAATAAAACGTGTAAATTGGCTTGTTATTATTAACACATTCATAATGGGAGTGTGACTAAATAACACCATTCGCATTTTTGCATCTTTATTAATTCATTTATTGGGTATTAATTAAAGTTGCAAGAAGAAGCAGGCTGGTTGTGAAAGAGGAAACCTTCAGAAATATGAAGCATATTCAATTAAACGTATGCCCAAGTGGAAAAGGGTGAAGTCTATTAAATATAATGGGAATGATATTGTTCTACCTTTGTTAAATTATATTAAATAATACTCCTTACCAAATTTCTTGAAAACACAACAAATTTTTCTGTCCCATATTGTAGTTTAGTAAATTTTGGAAAATTCAATAGCCCTGCCATGTTTTATTTACTATCACCATAAATAAGCTTTTGGCTTCAAATATAAAAAACTTTAGCTCCGTTATTCTTTTTACACTAAGAATTTCCATAGCTTCTAAAAATTGTATTAATTATGATCCCCTTGTCACCCAAAATGTTAGCACAACCACAAGAAAATACTCAAAATACTAATCATTGAGAATAACAAAAGGGCACTCAGGCATACTGTGAAGATATGGATTAAGTTTCCGATTTATCGAATAGGGTAATGACTGAAGCCGCCCCAGTAAATTGAATTACCTTCGTTTTATATCAAGTCAGCTACAGTCAATTATATAAGAGAGAATCCATGTGAATTACCAATTCACAATGCAGAAAAGAATATACAAGGTATCATATTTAAATTACTATAGTAGTATACCTACATATTTGCTGGGTACTCAGGTGAAAAGTATCACTTGCAGTAGCTCTTGCTCAAGCAGGAAAAAAGTAATACTTTTCAGTACAAGAATATTGAAATACAATGCAGCAAATTTAACAAATAGCCACCCATGCAATTTTTCATAGTGGTTGGTTAAGCTGCAGTCCCCCTAGATGGCAAGGCCGAGAAGCGGCTGTGTAGGTCGCTACGCCCACGCAAGATGATTCCTCATTGGTTCTAGGGTTACCAGCCATACACGAAAGACATGGGTATAAAATATTTTGACCGGGTAATTGACACTTTCGGTATTGCTAACTAGGGTGACTGACACTGAACTTAGGTTGAACACGCTGAAATTTTTTTGAATAGATTGGATAGTGGATGGAGTATTTTATTACAATTTTGTTTGTTGATATGATTTGCAGTTTTGTCATTATAATTCAACACTTGAAGACAGTTTATCTAGAGTAAACCAATTATTATATTGTCACAATAATGGTTTTAAGGCTGCTAGACCAATAATTATTGTTGGTTAAGTCTTTGTTAGACAACAATAACCTCAGACAAAAACCATATTGACACAATCTAAGGTTTTTTTTTAAACCAACAAGGACTTAACAAACGATTGATCTAGTCGCACTTATTAAACAAAGAGAAATTTTGACTGCAGAACCAACTGAAGTTATATAACAGCATAATGGCAGGCAAAACTGATAATGTAATTTGTTTTTGCTTCAACTTTCGCTGCAATAAAATAAAATTAAAACCAAAATGTGAGCGGGCGGGCGTACAAATTAGCATTACATACTGCAGGAAGAGAAATACGTAGGTGTTAAAGACGGTTGCATTTCGAAATTTACAACCTACCACTTATGCATTTTTTTTTACTATTTATATCATGATGTATGGGATTTATTGGTTTGTTTAAAATTAAATTGCAATGAATAAATTGTAGCAATATTGGCTTAAATTTATTGACACTATGGCGTTGCATTTAAAACAAGACAATTGCCTGTTGGCCACTTCAAAATCAGATATGTGCGTGCTACTCATTTTCTATTCTGTATAAAAATTGGATATAAAACGCTTTAATGCAACCAAAATTAACAAATTTTCTATAAATTTTATTGATATATCCTCTATAAACATGTTTTTGTATCAATTTAGATGCGGATATTGACGTTTTTTGCCTAAGTGGAAAAATAAAAATAAACAAATTATGGGACTGATGAACCAGCGCCATTAACCCATTCTAGACTATAAACTGTTTTTCGCAAGAACAGGATTCAGAGGGTACTTGCATGGAAAATTAAATTGATTATTGTTTATTGCAAACTGTAGGAAATCGAGAAAAAATCGTTACTTTTTTTTTATTTCGCCCAAATATGATTATTCCGGAAGTTAATCAAATATAAAGTTTTGTATATATAGATATACTGAGCATGTGCAACGTCACTTATTTATTAGATAAGTGACGTCATAGGCAGATTTCATAGTGTTGTATCTCCGTCAATTTTTTACTAAGAAGCAAAAGAAAAAACAAGTGTTGACTTATTTTTCATGGACTATCGAAATCAGCAATAAAAAAATTTGATGCAAGGAGCCTATTTTTGGCAATTTCGTTTAGATTTGAGTGAGGATAAAAAATATCTTTTTTTTCTGATTGCTCACACTACTTGCCAAATATCAAAGAAACGTGAATCCACCAAACATATAGCACTTTCTTGAAATTTAAACTATGTATTTTCAAGTCTAGGATTGCTCACTCTGCTCGCTGAATCTCAAAGAAAAGATCCATGGAAACATGAATCCACTATAATGTACAAAACTAATGATCCACAAATTTTTACATTCAAATCGGTCTAAAAATTTTAACTTCAATGTTATGATTGCAGCATGTGAGAAAGTACACCAAAGTGTTTTACGACTCAAAAATTATTCATAACATAAAGAACTTTGGATATAACCACAGTTGGACTTTACCATAGATTTTTTTTAGACTATAATAGATTTGAAATAGTCTTCAATTAGCTATTTTTTTCATCATTATTGAATGATAATACCTATCAATCTCTTATGATATGTCCCAATCACCAGGAAAATGAACTAATAGTTATAATCTAAGTACTTGAGTGAAAATTATTGTTTATATTTAAACTTTACCTTACCTAACTGATCTTTTTTGTAATGGGCTATCCACAGCCTCGTCCAGTCGTCTCCTTTTGCCATCTTTCTCATTGGAAATGGGTTTCTTTATTTTGTCAGGAACTCTCTCTGGAGGAGAATGTGATCTCGATCTGGTCTTAGACCGACTGCGGGAATGGTGTCGTTTTCTTGAACGTGGCATCTGCATATTTAATAGATACAAAATATTAGGTATTTTTTTAATTGATTCCTGTGTTAATCACGAAACATTAAATTAAACTGAGAGAGAAGGAAGTTCAGATTTTTAAATTTTTTATTATGAATTAAAAACCAAAAATTGTTAAGAAATTGCCACCAGGGGGGGAACTAGCAGTGATATTTACCTTTATAAAGTGTTATAGAAATGTTAACATGAATAAACGATTTTTGATTTTTCAGTAGGATATGCCTAGGTTCATAAACAAAAGAGTGTCAAGTGAGGTGTTGGAAACAATATTCTCCCAAACATCGATAGATTTGCAGTGATTACTGGGCATCCGGATAAGGATGCACTCTACAGCGATCTCAGTAACCATAAGAGACACAGAGTTGGAAAAAGTTGCGCTCAGTGGCGTCATGGTTTGATATTTCAGATATTCCGAACGATTCCGAAGATATCCATATAAAACTGAATTTTGCCAAAATCGTTTTTATTTTTTTCTGACTTTATTTGAAATTATATCGCAAAATAAACTTCACGTTCTCATTGCCCCTTTTTCTCTACTACATGATAATGTTATTAGATTTTTGATAAGACGTTTCGTTTCTTTGCGATCATCATCCATTTTGTTCTTTCAAATGGTTGGAATTTTTTATTCAATGCCTAATAAACCCTACTTTTTATTCTAAATGCATCCAACGACATAACGGGTCTACAAAAAAAAACCAATCAAAGATTGCTTTGATTATGAAAACGTATGTGGCATTATTGTTTCTTTATTGGTCAGGATTTTTGACATTAAAGTTCATTGACAAATTTGAAGAAAAAACTTGCTAAGGGCCAAATTATGGACCAACTGGTAAGTGTCTGGTTGTTACCTAGCAGGTACTTTCTATTATCTAGAGCATAGAAAGTACCTGTAAGGTAACAACCAGACGTTTACCAGTCAGTCCATAATTTGGCCCTAAGACATACGTTTAAAAAACCATAGCAATCTTTGATTAGTTTTTTTTTTTTTTTGAAGACCCGATATCAATCTCATAATTCCAGGAATATTAATAGCCACTAGTGGTCCCATTAACAGGTTTCCGCAATCTCCAGACATTCCACCGATGGATTTTGAAAACTCAATTAACTCCATTCTTAAGGAATTCTCAAAAGACAAAAGCCATCGGTGTAATGTCTAGAGTTCGTGGAGGCTCGTTTATGGGATAACTAGTGGCAATTATTATTCCTGGAATTATGAGCTTGATATGTGGTTAGATTTAGAATAAAAAGTAGATTTTATTAGGCATAAAATAAAAAATTCCAGCCAATTCAAAAAACAAAGATGATGATAGCGAGAAAACGGTCTTTTTGTTATTTTCTGCGAAGATACGACCATTTTATGAAAAAACAAAAACGCCGCATTTCTTGCGGAAATTATGGAAAGGGAATTACTGTTGGTTAAGGAGTGGTGTACTTGTAATCGTCTGGTGTTTAATGTGTTGAAAACAAATATCGTAACATTTAAGTGTAGCATAGTTGGAAAAGCTAAATTCCTTGGATTGCACATAGACTCGAAGCTGCGATTCGACAAAGATTTATTGAATAAAAAACTTTCACCGGGTGACCGGGGTGTTATATACTTGAATCTATAGCACATGAACTGGGTAAGCATACCGCCAAAACAACATATCATGCACTGATCGAATCGCATCTTCGCTATGGAATAGCATTCTGTGGGTTTTCCACTCAAAACTCTATTCAATCGATGTTTGTACTACAAAAAAGAGCAGTCAGATATATTTGCCATGCAGGATATCAATAGAGCTGCAGACCACTTTTTGAAAGGGAAAGTATTTTGAAGGTTCCCTGCATATTCATTTTCGAAACGGCCTGTCTAATATTTAAAAAATTTGAAAATAATGATATAGTGAGACACTAGTTCAACCTACGCAATCAAAATTTTCCATTACCCATTCCAAAATTTGCCTTAACGAAAAATTCTATTATCTATGAGAGCATTAAGATCTTCAACAGGTTGCCAGATGAAATAAAGGGTGTGGAGGACTATGGAGGAATTTGAAACATTTTGAAGAGATTTCTGGAAACCAAAGCTTATTACAGTCTTGGGGAATTCTATTCAGACTAATCTTTAAATCTGTGATTTTTAAACTGTGATTCTTAAACTGTGATATTTTCAATTTTTCAATTACTAAATTATTTATTTTTAATGGGCTTTAACTGATTCATGTAGTGTTTGACTTTGTTTATAGTGATGATTGTTTTTGAAAATTTTGCTACCATCCCGCGCTGGCTCATCGGTTCTGTGTTTGATTTGCTGAGATATCTGGACGCTATCAAATCTAGACCACGATAATTTTCTTTTATTTATGTATGGTAAACTGTTCAGGTGTTGTTGATTGTATATAGAATTTTCAGTGTTATTTTATTGCTTGTCTTTCTAGTTTTTTGTTGTATTTAAAAGGGTACTCTCAACACTGACATCTTAATTTTAACTTAGTATACATTTTAGGATATAGGAAATTTAATTTTAGACTTTTTTTGACTTTGTCAATGAAATTGAATAATTTTTTGACTTTGTCAATGAAATTGAATAATTTTTTGGACAATAGAGCTTTTTTGATTTGAAACGTCTGATAAAAAATCTAATTTATTTATTTATTTATTTCAAGCACTTAACAGGTTGCTGACGCATCCAATTACAAATAACATTAACATGTAGTGGAGAAAAAGTGGCAACAAGAATGTGAAGTTTTGATTGAGTTCAGTATTTCTACCCACACAGAAGCCAAATTGCGGGTTAATGATTCCAGGAGAGAATAGTGAGCTTAGATACTTGGTTACAAGGTTTTTAAAAATTTTAGGGATGGTATTGATGATGCAAATGGGCCGGTAATTTTTTATGCTGGACTTTTCTCCAGATTTATGTATTGGGACAACAAAACTTGTTTTCCAGAATTTGGGAAAAGATCCACTTTCAAAAGATTTAATAAATATGTATAATGTGTAGGGGCCTAGCGAGAATAAAAGGGCAGTTTTTAAGAGAGACAGGATGGATATTATCAGGACCCGAACCCTTGTGAGGATTCAAGCTAATAAGCTCAGTGTGAGGCTCAGTGTATGTCACATATGGAAATGGAGTACTTTTATTATCAAGAATGAGTAGATTAGGTATCTCCAGGCGCATTGCGTTTAGAATTACAGAAATTCCAAAATGGTTTCGAATAAGTAGAAAGGTAATTTTCAGTGTTTTGGAGAAAACTCCTATAACATTCCCGAGAAAGGACTGCACACTGTGATCTTAGGGTTGGCAAAAACTTCATAGTCTCATGAGCGGATTTACTGTTTTTGTAATTTTTATGGGCAATCTTCTTTTGTATTGTTAGACTTATAAGATCCCTCCTGAACCACCGAGGAAACATTCTACTGGGTATCTTTTTGATTGGAACAAATAGATCAAAGCAACTACAGAAAAAATATCATAAAATTTGTTCAACATGGAATCTATATCCAGATTGGATAGCAGAATATCCCAGCAGAAAGCACCCAAGTAATTGTTTATTGATACAAAGTCTGCAGATTTAAAATCATGGTAATAGCAATCTCCTCTAGTACTAACAGATGTGTAACATGATTGCGAGATAGGCAGGTCAAAGTGAAGGGGTGGATCATGATTATCAATGGGAACCAGAGGATCACAATATTTAACGCTAAGCGTTTTGTGGGACAGAACTAAACCGAGAAAAACTCCATTTGCATTATGAATAAAATTATTCTGAAAAAGGTTATGAAAAGCAAAAAGATCTGAGATTATATAGTTGAAATCACGATAGAAAGTGAAGTTGACAGTTCGTATTGACATTTCTAGGGATTGAAGATATCTTCAAGGAATTTGAGATGTTTGCATACTCTTAGAAAGTTTTATCCAAATACATTCCTGATTGCACATTTCAACAAATATAAAACGATATATCGAAAGGTAATAAAAAGTGCAGATTAATAGTTATTTATGTATCAAGGGAATTATGCAGGTGTTAATACCCCAGGGCAAAGTTTGTGTCCCGAGGGCCTCCGGCCCGAGGGACACCAATTGCCCGTGGGTATTAACTCCTGATAATTCCCGTGGTACATAGATAATTTTATATCCTACTGAATTTACTGTATTCTGTCTATTTTTATAAAGGAATAAGCCATAAATCAAAATTTCTATTTTTTGTCAAAGTGTTACCTATTCAAGGTAAAAGCGGGAGTTATGGAAATCCTTAACTCCCTTGGGAGTTATGATATCCTTAACTCCCTTCCTTAACTCCCTTGGGAGTTATGAAAATCCTTAACTCCCTTGGGAGTTAAGACCCTGTTTATGATTATCGTAACCAAGGTATTATATGGTTTTAATAGTTCAGTAGGATATAATAGTTATTTATGTATCAAGGGAATTATGCAGGTGTTAATACCCCAGGGCAACGTTTGTGTCCCGAGGGCCTCCGGCCCGAGGGACACCAATTGCCCGTGGGTATTAACTCCTGATAATTCCCGTTGTACATAGATAATTTTATATCCTACTGAATTTACTGTATTCTGTCTATTTTTATAAAGGAATAAGCCATAAATCAAAATTTCTATTTTTTGTCAAAGTGTTACCTATTCAAGGTAAAAGCGGGAGTTATGGAAATCCTTAACTCCCTTGGGAGTTATGATATCCTTAACTCCCTTCCTTAACTCCCTTGGGAGTTATGAAAATCCTTAACTCCCTTGGGAGTTAAGACCCTGTTTATGATTATCGTAACCAAGGTATTATATGGTTTTAATAGTTCAGTAGGATATAATAGTATATTATATACCTAGGTAGAGAAGTTGGTCGAGGTTTATAATGCGTGAGGTATATAATGACTTTCTCTACCGAGGAATATATAGAATTTTTTTTACTACTGCTAGTAGAAAATAAAAAATTTGTTTAAAATCTGTGTTCTAATTATTTTTTGTGAACGCCCTCTTGATAGTGCTGCCCTCTATCAACAGCTTATATAACTTCCTATGTACCTACAGAAACCTGTATTTTTTTTCAAATTGACGTATGAAATTGAAATTGAACCAATAGAAACATGACAATATCCTTGCGTCATGACGTCATTTTCATTATTGACCTAGGTATTTTTTCATTATTTTCATTATTAACCTAGGGAGAGAAATTCAATTTTTTCTTAGAAAAATAGATTGAATAATGTCTATTTCTCAGGTTAGTAGTAAAAAAAAACTATTATAATACTAGAATTGATGGTGCATCAGTAGTATTAATTCTATTGGGGAACTAGAGATCAATGTTTTTTATTGCTCAGTTGTGGAAAGGCTGACATCTCAGATTTCATCCGATATCGATCCCATCAGCTACTTGAGGGACATTTCTATCACTAATTCCTTTAGTCTATTCCACACTGATATAAATGAAATAAAGATCATATTCAGACAAATAAAGAATAAAAATTCATCAGGTATTGACAGTATTTCAGTGTGAATATTGGGCAAGTTGCCTGATTGTGTGTTGGAGACTCTTGCAGTTGCAATAAATCTATCTTTTGAAAGGGGTGTTTTCCCTGATAGTCTAAAGGTGGCACTGGTTAAGCCCCTATTTAAGAGTGGGATTGCTGAGGATCCATTTTCTTATCGCCCTATTTCGCTTCTTCCAACATTGTCTAAAATAGTGGAAAAAATTGTAAAGTCTAGAATGATGGATTTTCTTCAGAAACATAATTTGTTGAATGTTAGCCAGTTTGGATTTCAAAATAATAAAAACACTTGTGATGCAATATTTAACTTTCTCGAGAGATTGTATCTTGGCCTGAACAAGGGAGAGATGGCTGCGGCAGCGTTCTGCAACTTCTCGAAGGCTTTTGACTGCGTAGATCAGGGTATACTGCTGTGGAAACTTGCTTGGTATGGTTTTCGGGGTGTCACTTTGAGCTTGCTGCAGTCATATTTAACTAATAGAAAACAATTTGTGAAGGGTCTAAACGATTTGTCAACAGGTCAGGGTATTGAGCATGGGGTTCCTCAAGGCTCAGTGCTTGGCCCACTTTTGTTTCTTATATATATTAACGACCTAGCTCACATTAACATTACTGGAACCTTTACATTATTTACTGATGATACATCAATATTGTGGCTAGGAACAGATGCTGACATATTAACGGATATTATTAATAATGACATTAGGGCGATAATGGACTGGTGCAACCTTGGGTGCAACAGCAACAAATTGATATTCAACATTGCAAAGACTAATATTTTGACTTTTAAGGGGTCTGTAACAGACGTTATGCTAAACAATGTCCCATTAAGTAATAGAGAGAGTTATGAGTTTCTAGGAGTGTTCATTGAGACAAAGTTAAAATTTGAGGATCATATACAGGTCATGCGAAGAAAATTGGCATCGGCATGCCATGCTATAAGGATGGCAGGAATGGCCAGGATGTTACAAGGGGAATATATTTTGCCCTTGTGGAATCGCATTTGAGGTACGAAATTCAATCTTGGCGTTTTGCAAACTATCAACTTATACAGTCCGTCTTTGTACTTCAAAAGCGGGATGGTACGACATTTGTGTGGAGTTTGTCATAGGGAGCACTGCAAGCCATTATTTATTCAGGAGAGGATCCTCACCTTGACCTCCATTTTTATTCTTATGACAGTAGACATGGTCCACAATAAGTATAGGAATCCAGTTAATAATTCAGCAAGAGTGACAAGATTCAATAGTGATCATTTGAGATTGTCTATCCCTAAAACTACTTTGACAAAAAACTCAATCATATATGAAGGAGTAAAAATGTTTAATCACCTGCCCCTGGAACTTAAAAACTTGGAAAGCAATAGGATTTTCAATAAGCATGTTAAAAGGCTATTGTTGAGTAAGGCCTATTACTACCTTGACGAATTTTACAATGATAGATTTTAATTATGTAGGTTTTCTTTTTTTCATTATTTTGTTTTTGTTATCGTTTTCAACTTAAGTACCATGTTTCAAATTCAAATTCAAATTTTAATTCTTTATTGATGCTGCACATCACTTATATCTTTATCTTTATTTTTATTTCCAGCTTTGTAAGTGAGAGTGTTGAGCTCTTTGTACAATAACAGAAACAGAGGAATGAAATGGCAATGAAGGATTCTACATACGAGAAAATGGAGTTGGATTATCAGGATGAAATTGAGAGCCATAGGAAGGAGATGGATTTGCTCACAAATGAGTTGAAACACAAGGACAGTTTCCTGAAAAGAATTGAAAGAAATTCACAAAGATTGAATGATGAAGCAGAAGCCATTGAAGAGAGCTGTAATAAAAAAATAAGCGAATTACATGGGAAAAACGAAGAGCTACGAAAAAGGTTGGCACAGTTGAATGAAATGAATGAGAACTTGGAGAGAACGCTTAGGACATTTGAGGAAGAAAAGGAAACGCAAATTGATAAACTTTTCGGTGAAAATCAAAGGACGCTCTCTCGAATAAACATACTTGTTGGCCAGGACAACGAAAACCAGGCTGTTATAAAAGAACTGCATAGGGAAATCGAGAAACTTGTGAAAAATTCTAATGCACCTGTTAATCCAGATCAAACTTCAAGAGGTACTCAAACAATACATGAGAATAAACATACGCAATCACAATCACAGCCCCAATCAAGAAAACTTAAAGTAGGAATATCAACCCGAATATTAATTATTTCGGATGAACACGGGAAAAAATTAGGCAGAAACATCGAAAGGCATATTGACTCGGAAAACATCTTTATTGAATCAATAGTGAAACCTGGAGCTCATTACGACGGCGTACTTCACGGGTTGAAATCCTTAACTAGGGACTACAATAAAAATGATTATGTTGTCGTCATCGCGGGCTCAAATGATTTTTATAATAATAGACGACCAAAATTTGGCAAAATACATGAAGTTCTAAAAGAATGTTCGCACACTAATTTTATAGTTTTAGCCAGCCCAATTTTGCGCAAATACAATAATGTCAATTACATTTCTCTTTTTAATAATAATCTAAGAAAAATTTTAAGCGCATTCTCAAAACAGTCTGATAACCTTTACGATTATATTGATATTAACACAGACAGAGGCTACAAAGTGAGTAACTGGTTGATTGGTAAGATGATAGCCGAATCTATGCATTTAAACTTTTCGCAAAATGAATTGTGTGATAGCCTGAAAATAACCAAGGTAAACAATGAATCCGCAAATCATGCAGTGTGCTCGCCGATAAATAAATCTCCTCAAGCTTTTTCTAGAACCATAAATATTGATACATCTCCAGCTTTTCGTCAGTCTGTTTGAGGAACTAAACCATAGTTGTATTACAAATAGCAATAGCAATTTCAACCCAAATGTCTCACATTCCTCAACTTTTTTAGGGACAAAATTGTCACAAACAAAACATCCTTGAACAAGAAAATTAAATCATTAACTTTATTATTGCAGAACATCCAATCAGCAAGAAATAAATCTGACGAACTATTCATATTCCTTGAAAGTCAAAATTTTCCCCATTTAGTTTTACTTACAGAACATTGGCTAAAAAATGACGAGCCATTCTTTGTTCCGAACTATCAAGTTGTGTCCCAATTCTCTCGATCTGAGTTCTCGCACGGAGGAACTAGTATACTCCTTAACAAAGAACTATTATTGGAAACTGATTTCTGCAGCTGTGATAAATTTGATTTCTTGGTTTCTGAAAGGATCTTTGAATTTTCTTTACTTCATTCACGGTCATTGAACTTGTACATTCTTTGCATCTACCGCTCTCCTGACTCTTCTAGCATTGCACGCTTCCTGGAAATTTTCGAAATACTTCTCTCGGATCTTCCGAGTGGGTGCGATCTCGTTGTTGCTGGTGATCTAAACATTGATTTTGGTAACCCGCAAGCAAATTCCGCCATTCTATTACTCAATCTGCTTGATTCATTCAATCTTGAAATGCATGTCAATAAACCAACCAGAATCACAAATTCAACTTTCACCATCATTGATTATGTGTGTTCCAATCTTGGTGCAAACATTACGTGTGATGTAATTGATCCTGCTCTTTCTGATCATAATGCAGTACTAGCAAATCTACCTTTAAATATAAACCGTAACTACCACCATTATAATAAAACTGGTAGAATATTTAGCAAAAAAAAATTCTATTTTTTCAAGCGTGCGTGCGGTCTTTCTGAATGGGAGAACATTCTTGTCAAGGCGGACCCGCTAAATGAGTTTCACCAAATGGTTAGTTCCTTGGTTAACAAAGCATTTCCTCTACTTCCTTTAAAAAGAAAAACTAACAAAAAATATTGGATGTCCAAGGGCTTAAAAATTTCGGCAAACAATTTAAGATCACTTAACTATATTAGAAAGAATTTCAATGACCCGTTTATATCCAATTATTACAATGAGTATCGCAAGATTTATAGGAAGCTAATTATAGCAGCAAAACAGAGTTTTTATTCACACCAACTGGAAAATGCTACAAATAAATCAAAACAGACATGGCAAATAGTCTGTGAAGTCACAGGAAAATCGGGTGCTATCCAGCAGCAATTTGATATTGAGCCGGATGACTTGAACAAATTCTACTGCACAGTTGCAGAAACATTAACCAACACCATACAGTCTGACACAGATCCTTTAATTTATCTGAATAATCTTCATGTCCCTGAATCATTTTTCTTCCAGCCAACCGATGTTCATGAAATCGGAAATGTCCTTAAATCCATCAAAAACCAGAATGCATCTGGCTCGGACGGAATTTCCACGAAGATACTCAAGGAACTTCCAGGTCGGGCAATAAGTGTTTTAGCAGCGGCTATAAACGAATCATTCTCTAAGGGAACGTTTCCTTCTAGCCTTAAAAGAGCTCTGGTTGTACCATTACATAAAAGTGGCGATACAAAAAATCCCTCAAATTATCGTCCTATATCTCTACTTTCAACTATATCGCGCATGCTGGATTTTCTCTCTAAACATTCCGTCTTTAGTTCTTCTCAATTTGGTTTTCTTCCCAGCAAAAATACCCATGATGCCATGCTTCGTGTTTTGGAACAGTTTTTTACACACTACAACAATGGCCGGGCTGCTGCGGCGGTGTTCTGCGACTTCTCGAAGGCTTTCGACTGCGTGAATCATAGTGCACTGCTGCGGAAGCTTGAGGTCTATGGATTCAGGGGTGTGATTTTGAGGTGGTTCGAATCTTATCTCTCCTCCCGAAGCTAGTGCGTCTCAGCAAATTGTAAGTACTCTTCGGATCACTCTATCAAACACGGAGTTCCTCAAGGATCTGTACTGGGACCAATCCTATTTCTGTTGTACATCAACGATCTATTTCACCTGGATATAACTGGAATGTTCGCTGCTTTCGCGGATGATGCTACTGTGGTATGGCACAAGGAGGACCCTGATGATCTGGTTCGGACAATTTCACGCGAAATTGTTGTTGTTAGGAATTGGTGTAATGCGAATAAACTCTTATTCAACTTTAAAAAAACAGAAGTACTTGGATTCCGGTTCAATGTCAATGAAATAGATTGCGGGCACTTTTCGATCAGAAGCTCTGAGAGCACGAAATTTCTTGGGCTACAGCTGGACGCCGACCTCAAATTCCAGGGTCACATAATTAAATTGAACAAAAGACTTGCATCTGGTTGCTATTGTGTACGAGCAGTGGCTGCTAACTTAGGTGTCTCAGTTGCTAAGGTGGTTTACTTTTCACTTGTACAATCTCATCTTTCGTACGGTTTGCCATTTTGGGGTTGTTGTAGTCAGTTTTTGTTTCAATCTGTTTTTAAACTACAAAAACGTGCAATACGTTACATTGCGGGTGCTTCTCCTAGAGATCACTGTAGACCGCTTTTCATCAAATATGAAATTTTAACATTACCCTGTCTTTTATATTAGAGACCGCGAGTTTAATACATAAAAACATTGCCATGTTTACTGTTCATCAGACAGCTTGCCTAACTCGTCAAAGGCATGACATTCCTCTTCCGATCCCCCATTCGGCTTTGGTGCAAAATTCAATAATTTATAATAGCATAAAGATCTATAATCAGCTGCCTTTAAATCTCAAAACCATATCAAATATCTCAAAGTTTCGCAAAACCTTAAAGGAAGCACTGGTGAAGCCAGCTTTCTATTCGCTCGATGAGTATTTCAATTATTCTTTTAACCAATAGTTGTCTCTTATTCCGTCAACAGTTACTCAATTTTAAATTCAACCTTTTGTGGACTTTTTATTGTTTATATATTTTTTTTATTTATGACATACATATTGTTTTTGTGTATTTTTTCAATTGTGTGTTTCTGTATTGTTTTATATTTTACCTATTTATTTATTTATCTTATTTATTTATCTTAATTTGACTGACATACCTACTAAATAAAGGTTTTTTTTTTTTGTTGTTGTTGTGTCCACTAGTCTTTGAAACCTATGTCAAGAAATGTTGTGTTAAATGAATGTATTTATTATTTTTGTAAATATACTATTTCAATTTTTTTTTTTTTTTTTTATTTATTTATTTATTTCAGACCTCAAAACAGTTTAGAATAAACTGGCACCGAGGCCTTAATATCAATAATATAACATAACAGAAGTAAAATATAACATTTAACTAAGCACTCAAAAAATATATTAGTTTTATAATCTGTTTGCTCTTAGGTATTCTTTAAGGTTATGACACATTTCTTTAATCACACCCTTCAGTACAGTCTTTGGTATTTTGTTATAGGCCTGTACGCATCTATAGATTGGAGAGTCTTGTTTTTTCTTTGTTCTGGCATAGGTATTTCTTAGTCTTTGGTTATTTCTGGTATTGTAGTTGTAATATTGTCTATTTTCATTCAGTTCTACATTTGTTTTAAGCAATTTATTTTGTATAGCATAAATAAGTTTTGTTTGTTCTAGTATTTTAAGCTCACATATTTTTAGGCAAGGCAGACTTTTGTAAATTTCTTCACTAGGGACATAAAAGTTCATTCCAAATATTGTTTTAAGAGCCTTATTTTGAAGTCTCTGGAGCCTATTTATTTGTGCAATACTTGTATTTCCCCAACACGTTATCAAATACCTAAAATGTGGCTCTACAAAACTATTATAGAGCAGCTGTTTTGTTTTTTGGTTTAGTTGATGTGAACATCTTTTAATTACACCTATCATTGGCACTATTTTTCCAGTCACAGTTTCAATGTGCTTATCCCATGTTAGTTTTTCAGAAATGAGCAAGCCAAGGTACTTATATTCACACACTCTTTTCAAAGGTACTTCATTTATGTTTATGTTTATTTGTGGGTTTAGGGGTGGTTTTCCTGTTTGTTTACTAACCATATATACTGTTTTTTGCGCGTTCAACGAAAGTCTATTATAGCACAGCCAACTAAAATATTGCTTTAAGTCACTATTTACAAGTTCGTCAAGTTGTATTGCACTGTCACCTGAGTAGACCAATACAGTGTCGTCTGCAAATTTAAAGTAGGTTGCTTTTAAGTTTGCATATTTCAAACTATGTACATACAGTAAATAAAGTATTGGCCCCAGCACTGACCCTTGGGCAACTCCTACATTCAAGTTAAGTTGTTCACTACTCTCACTATTTATTGTTGTAAAGTGCTTTCTTCCAGTAGAGTAAGATTTTAGCAGGTTATAGCATGGTCCACGGAAACCCATTTTATATAGTTTGCTCATCATTAACTCTATATTAACCGTGTCGAAGGCTTTTTGAAGGTCGACAAACACAGTTATGACATATTTGCTTTTGTCCAACTCACTGGAAACATATTCCAACATATCCACTGCTGCTCCTTGTGTGCTACTTTTACATTGAAACCCATATTGCTGTTTATCAAACTTAAAATTTGTTTCAATGAAATTTATTAATCGGGTCTTGATAATTTTTTCTAACACTTTGGAAAAAGTACTGAGTAGTGAAATTGGCCTATAGTTATTTATGTTATCGTGCTCGTCTTTTTTGAATATTGGGATGATTTTAGCAATTTTGAGTTCTTCAGGGTAAATTCCAGTTTGCAGGACGTTATTAACAAGTTCTACCATTTTTGTTCCAATAATGTAATATAGAGTTTGCAAATCTTTTTTCAATACACCATCCATGCCTGGAGCACAGTTGTTTTTTAAGGTATTGATCGTTTCTTTCATTTCTGTAAGGGTTGTTGGTTCAAGAATTATGCTTTCCTCAACTTCCTCCTCGTTGAAAAGAGTTTTTGAATTTTGTTTTATTTTGTCTGCTAAAGTATCTCCTATTTTGGAAAAATGCGTATTGAATTCTTGAGCCATTTCTTTGTTATTTTTAACTAACTTTCCACTAGAGTTGATTATTTGATGTATTTTTTTTTTATTATTTTTATTGGTATTACATATTTCATTTAGTACTGCCCAGGTCTTCTTTGCGTTGCCCGTTGCTTCATTAAACCGTCTTTCTGCATACTGTTTCTGCAGTTTTTTTCTAAGGTTGTTTAGTTGGTTTTTGGCTTTTTTAAACTCCGTTTCACAATATTCATTTTTAATTCGTTTCCACCTAACATACAGTGCGTCCTTCTCCTTGAGCTTGGATAGGTAATTGTTTGTTATCCAATAATTGTTTTGTTTTATTTTTATACTGTATTCTTTCGTGCATTCATTTTTTGAGGTATTTATGATTTCAGCTAGTTGTTGAAAAGTTGTTATTTGATGTTGTTCTATTTTTTCCTGCATATGATTTAGCCATTTATTTTCCATTAAAAAACTTCGTTTTACTTTTTCTTTTTTCTTTAAATATATTGCTTTTTTAATTTCTATGTACATAACTTTGTGGTCCGATAGGTCACTGTCCTGTAGTTTAATAGTGCAGGCTAAATTTTGATTTGTTATTATATGGTCCAGGATAGATGCTGTATTGCTAGTCACCCTAGTTGCATTTTGTTGCAGCACTTCATTCTGGAACTTAAATCCATTCATTTGTATAATGTTTTGGTAGTTATTGATAGTTTGTGATTGCTTCAATAAATCTAAGTTCATGTCTCCTATTATTATGCACTCAT